TTTGCTTTATAGAACGTGAAATATCACGCTCTAAAAATTTTAAATGCGGTGGAACAATAATTATGAGAGTCAGTGTAGAATCTGGGGTTGATTAATAAACATAAACAATAAAATTCTGTATGCCCCATCTACGCGTTATGCGCGTGATTTAGAGTACGCGCGTAGGCGTTATTTTGATACAAAGATAAAGTTTTTTTCAAAACGTGATTTCCAAACGCCCACGTTAATCGATAAATCACTTTCCTACTCAAGCCGATTTAACTGGACTGTATATTAGTTATTTGTCAGAGTTTTTGAAATATTTTGATTAGTTTCTTACTGTAACAACATATTATTACACTACTTGTTATGTCTAGTGTCAAGGCCGCTATTTATATGGGTGCACGTTATGTTAGGACGCGCGCTACTTTGAAACTAATAGTACGTATACCATTTTTAGGGAGCGTGATTTTCTAGATAACGCTCACGGGCGTTATTACGCGAAAATACAGTAATAAATATTTATTTTCATTAAAGATTAGTTTTTATGCTACACACTAATATTGCCCATGTACCTATTATTACTAGAACATATAATTTAGATGAAAAAACTTAGCTAACACTGGTAAGCGTCATTAAAGACGATTTGTTTATTGCGAAACATATTTTACAATAAATGTATCTTTGAAAAATCTTACATTTATTTAAATAATGATATCTCGCAATCCAATGATTGGAATAACGTGATTTTGGTTTGTCTCATTTAACACCAAATAAAAATTTAAGTGCAGCGCATATAAATTTGATATTGGGATAAACAATGAACGTTTTAAATAAATATCAATTATATTTATTACGCACATATTCAATAAAGTATACCAATAGGTTTTAACGTTAAATAAATCCGAAGCATCACATTCAAGGATATTGGAGTGTCCAAGTTTTCAAACATGCATCTTGTCCAACGGAAGACACTGTGCTGTTGTCTAAAAATGTTACTCCAGATACACTGACCTGATGTGCACCTTTTGTTCAGAATAAATTTAATGTAACCAAACCAAACAAAATAATCAGATATTTTTAGATAATAACATATATTAACATATTGCTAACAAAAATTGTCTATTACCTTTAATAGCAATACGATCTGATGGTTTTTCAACACTCCATACATAAATATTAGTATCCAAAGAACCACTGACTAAATGAAGACTATCTGGTGACCAAGCAATAGAGTAGATACGGGCAGTATGAAAGACCCACCCTGAAATAGTGACCTTAAAAGAAAAATAAAATACATTAATTTTTACAAAAATATGATAAATGAGTAAATATGATTAAGATGATAGTCCACCGTTTTGCTATTTGCATCATATACATAAATTTTTCCTTGAGAATCTCCAACAGCGAGCAAGGAACCATTAGGAGAATACGCAATAGTTGTGATAGCACCTCTATTAGACGATAATGTTTCCTCTTGTTCTTCAAGCTTATCCTCATTTAACTTATATATTCGGACCTTTGCATCCTATAATGTTTTTAATAAATATTTTTCTTTTATTCAAATGACATCTATATCGAAAGTAATTGATATTGAATTTCTTACTTCACTGCCGACAGCAATTTCTGTGCATGCAGGATTGATAGCAATGGCACCAGGAGGGGATTGTACTTTAATACTGAATATGCACTTATCATTACTGATAAGTTGTATATCATTTATAGTAGCAACTACTATCTTATTCTCAGAAACTGCAATACCTTTCGGTAAAGCACCGGTTGGAATGACAGATGTACTGCGATAGAAAAAAATAATCGTTTACAATTGTTGCTATGTATATAGGTATTTCATTTGTTTTAGTTACCCGAATGATTTTACATCAGCATCAATCATTCTAACAGTATCATCCATGCCGACAGAAACCACATTCTTCCCTTTAGAAGCCAATTGAGTAACTGAGTTGGTATGAGTATTTCCACCTACTACAGCACAGCTACCGTCAACATTCCATGCATGTGTGGTATTTGTTAAGTATAGTATGAAACTTTAAATATATATCAAAATTGAATGAATTCCCTGTTTTTAAAAGGATATAAATCCGTCCATCATAACTTCCTGTAAATAATGTAGAATCTTCACTTTTCGTAAACGCAGTAATTGCTTTTTGATGGCCCTATACATCACATAAAATGAATCGTGATTAATTGTAAATAATAATCTATTTTCTCAATCGTATAATGTGACTTACTTTAACCACCTTTACAGGTGATGGTGATTTCTGATCAAGGTAGTTAATGTCCCCGGATAGTGATAGGCTAATGATATATTCACCTTCCCAAAGATTACCAACTTGTTGGTCATCAATCGTATCAGAAAACCCGAACGTTCTAAAAGATAAATATTTAATGAGCAATACATACATAACTTGCAATTTCTTTACAATTGAACTTACTGTACGACTTTCTGTGCTTCAAGATCCCAGATTTTTGCAGTCTTATCACCAGACGAAGTGAGAAGTTGCTTGCCGTCGGGTGACCATGAAACAGCAAAAATGCTACCTTTGTGAGAATCAGCTGCAACGTCATCTGAGAGACACGATAATTTGCTACCAGTTTTCCCTTCATACAAAAACACCTTCACAATTTATTAGCCATAACAATAAGTCAAAGTATTAAATATATGACATTACTAAAGAATAATATACCTTTTTATCTGACCCTACAGTCACTAGTTTTTCACCGTCAGGAGAAAATTTTACACCCTGAACAAATGTTGTGTGATCCCTTATGGTTAAGTTATGTTTATACGGTACCCCATGTAGAAATACGACAGAAAAGTCATCGGATGATGTTGCGGCACGGAATGGACGTTGTTGACGAATACTGACACTATTAATAGCTTTAGTATGACCACTTATTTCTCCAACAGAAGATCCAGTATCAAACAAAAATGCACGGCCATATCTTAATTGTTTATTAATAAATAAAATTTTAATACGTATAAATGTAGTGAAGTGTAAGGTAAAGATATAAATTATATACCGTTCTTTACCATCACCAACAGCAATCAATCTTTTACTCTCAGAGTCCCAAGCAATATCATTAATCTTTCCAGAAATGACTTTAACCTCATTCTTTAAAATCTTTTCTTCTTGAGTAGTATCCCATATACGAACATTGCCATGTATATCTAAAGTAATGCGTAATAATATTACGCAATGAAAGGATGCAACAGAAAGATACTTTTATAATAATTATGGCACTTTACCGCCAGAAGCTGCATAATATCCACTTGGTGAATAACGCGCCACTGTAGCTTGAACAGAATGCCCAGTATATTCAGTCGCTACAGCTGGGTTCTGTTGATAAATAATAATATAATTTTATTACATAAGGTCATGCAAAGTTAAATTTTTTTTTTTGGTTTTCATAACAATAAAAATTTCATTTGATTTTCTGAAATATATGTAGATAACGTAATCTATCCATGAATTTTATAATACGAAAAATTTTTTATGACTCAAAAAAACCCAACCGAGTTAAGAAAACCAAAGAAATCAATTTTATATGACCTAATCATAATTAATTTATGAGGGCCATTCACGATACTTACAGCTAAATTACGAATAATAACGGTTTTTCCATTCGTATATAAAAAGTTTTCTCCTTTTGGATCAGAACCTAATTGAACGGCCTGACCACGGGTGGTGGTTGGAGCACACGCAAAAATGCTTTCTAAATTTAAACCAATTAATTGTAAGAAGAAACTCTTAAACAATACATCTTTTAAAAATGATACTTACTTCTAATATATGACATTAAAAAAAAAAATAATTTCGAATTCAAATATTGTGTATATACGTGTGTCTTAAAGCCTCCTATCCCCCTAGCACTAGCGCACCATTAAATTGTAATTTTATCCAATAAAATTTTAAATCAGGTGTAACGTTAAAAATCAGGAATAACTTGATATTTCCACATCTGGTTTAATTAAAAATGTTGCTTGAGATTTGAATAATGCCATTAATGTAATAAAATACACGAAGAAACCTCCCTGAATGCACCCTCCCTAAATGCAGCCTTCATAAATGTATCTTCAAATTTCAGCTCAAATATATTTAACGCAATATTTTTAAATGCATTTAGGGAGTTTCTCTATATTTAATGCTTTAACGTTAATACAAAATTATGCAATTTTCTAAGTAAATTTTATGCATTTAGGAAGTTCCTTAGTATTTTAGTATTAGTTTCAAATAATTTTCAAAAAATCTTTTATAATATTAACACAATTGGTTATGGCTATTTGTAGTTAAATTGGTCCATCAGATCGGTCTTTTTCATTTTTGTGTGATTTGATCGCACGTGATTAATTCTGCCATACAACATAGTGATCTTGGCCGAGCATAATTTTTCGGCTATGACTAATCCGATAAATTTTATCAGCTTGGTCGAACCTACAGTACTATGGTGCAGGATATCTATACTCAACAATTATACAAAGTGTTTCAATTTTTCAAATTGTTATACCTTTTCTTTAAGTTTTTAAAAATCTGATCAGTAACTTTATAAAGCTATATCAGCTCTACATATGTACCAATATTATTTCAAAATCTCATCATTGTAAAAAGTTTTAGCAATTTGAAAATTGAAAATTAAAATTATATAAATATTTATATATAAAATTTCAATTTTCAAATTGCTAAACATTTTACAATAATGAGATTTTGAAATAATATTTAGTACATATATAGAGCTGATATAGCTTTATAAAGTTACTGGTCAGATTTTTTAAAAATTTTTTAGATAAAAAGGTATAACCATTTAAAAAATTGAAACATTTCATATAATTGTTGATATAGATAAATGTTTTGCATTATATTTAATTTTTTTATTTTGATTATAATTTAAATACTAATATACAGTATATAGAAGTAAGAATTAATTTTAAAAAATTAGTTTTTATTTAAATGTTTTGAGAAAAAGTAGTTATGCAAAAATTTGTATAATAGTAAAATGTTTTGTAATAAGATAATTTTTTGTTTTTATAAGTTTTAAGATAATTATAATAAGATATTTATATATAATATTTAGTTTATTTTTTGTAATTACAGTTATGTTTTTATAATTAAGTTATATATTAAAAATTTTTAAACTATTTTTTTATTTAATATTCTAACTATGAATTATTTTTTAATAATATTTAAATAAATATATCTTGAATTCTTAATTTGATTTTAATACATTTGTTATAATTTTCTAAAAATTACTTAAAAAACTTTATTAAATTGTTTTAATCTTAAAATATTTATAATATACATTATTATAAAATTATTATTTCATTTTATATTATTATTAAAAAATACATTATATTAGTTTAAAAAGTTATATATAATATATTTTTAAAAAATATTACTATTAAGTATAATAAAAATACAAAAAAAATAACCAAATTTAAAACTAAACAAATAAATCTAATAAATAGATATTATATTAAATTTATTAAATAATTATTAAGATTATATTTTTTTATTTTCTTAATTTATAATTATATTAATTATTAATTTATAAATTTTAAATAACTAAACTTTATAATTAATAATTAATTATTATTATTATTTTATTTTAACTTAAAGTTTTAAATAACTGAATTTTATTATATTCTTTTATACTATTTTTCTTGTTTATAATATGTATTAAAGTTTTAGTTAATTAAACTTTATTATTATATATTTTATTCAATTATATTTATTTTTTTTAAAAAAAAATAAATTTAAATAATAAAATTTTATCTAATGATACTACTCTTACCTCTCAGAAGAAAAATATTAATTTTTCTTTTTAATAAGGTCTTCTACAAACCACATTAATGCAGCTGCTACTTCTAAGAACTTGATGTTCTCTATATATAAAGGCTACTCTTAGAGGAAAATAATAACAATAGACTGGTAGTAAAGCTTGTTGTGTGTGAAACTGTAGAAGACACCCAATATAATGTTTTTGAAACCAACAATTTATTCTTTTTAGAGACAAATAAATATTATAACATATTTCTAAAACAATACCATCTATCTTTATTACTACAAATTATAACACTTAATAATTTTATTAAACATTTATATCAAACTTTTTTTTTGATTCAATTAAAATTTCAGTTAACCTTCAAGTTACAGCAATATATATTTATACTAAAATTACTAATTCTACTCTTCTCAACTACACAGCTATAATCTAATTAAAAATAACATCTATAGTCATCTATCTATATTAATATTCATTTCTATAGCACCTTTCACTATTTTATTAATTATCACACCTGAACATACTTCTATTCTAATCAAAATCAATTTAATTAATATAAATGAGCTCTCTCAATCTAACAAGAAACTTGTCTTAATAGAACTATTACAAGAAAATAATTTCAAAATTTTTGGATTCTCTGAAATACTTATCTCTTAAAAAGAGCAAATTTTTTAATAATCAAATTCAAAACTATACTAATTTCTAGAGCTCATATACAAATCTTCACTAAGCTAATATTAGTATTTTTATATAGAAAAAAATCACCAAATATATTATCAAATCTTATAACTATAATTGTCATATAATTGGATATGATATTCATTTTAAAAATATATTTATTAGACTTCTTCAAATATACTTTCCAACTTATGAAAAAGATAATTTGACAAAA